GTCTTTGTAATTAGGGAGGGATGGAGGGGTTGAAGGGAGGGCAGGGGAAGGGGGAAAAAATAAGAACCAAGAGAGATTATGTAAAGATGCAAGTTTCCAATGATGAATGTAATTATATTGTATGCTTAAAATGTACCAATAAAATAAAATTTTAAAAAATAAATAGCATTTCTCTACAACAAAAGGAAAACAAATCAGGAAGACAATACCATTCATAATAGCTTTAAGCAAAATTAAATGCTAGAAGTCAGTCTATTAAAGGAGAAGAAAGATCACAATGTGAAAATTATAATATTCAAAGAAAAGGGATAAATGTGAATATGAGGAAATGAAAAAATATTGCCAGTATCACCTGTGGTTAATTAGAACATGTTTTCAGAGTACAGAAGGAATAACAAAACTCTTTGGGAATTGCAAGAGCAGGGAGATTCTAATACTTGCAGGGCTGCAGAAGACAGGGAGAAAGTGGATATCAAAATCTGAAGAGACAGTCACAAGCAGTAATAGCCATAGTAGAGGATCTCGGGACAGACCTATGGGCTTTGGTGGAAGAACCTGGCACCTCCCAGCAGCCAGTGAGTCAGAAAAGAGTTAATTCAGGAATCTCTTTCTCCAGTGACTCTCTGAACACTTCCTAGTGCTTATCACTGGCCAACTCAAGTGGAAGGTGAAGCCAGGGGTGGCAGGGGGACATGGTGTTATTAAAGTCTTGGAACATAATGGAAAAGGATTAAGAGTTCTTGTGAAGGGCAAATAGAGAACACCAGTGTGTTAGCTTCCTATCACTGTAACAAATGCTTGAGATAATCTACTTATGAAGAGAGAAGTCCCAGTTTGTAATCGACTGACACCATTGCCTTTGGCCTGTATGGGGAGCATGTCACCACAATAGCATGTGTTGGAGCAGAGATACTCTTTTCATGGAAAGGAAGCAAAGTGAATGAAAAGGAAAGGTCCTGGGTACCATTTTCACTTTTTAGGGTGCACCTTAAATGACCTACAGATCTTCAGAAGTTCCACCACCCTCAATAGCAGTATGGTGGGCACCCCAAGTCTTTAACATGTTGACATGCACATCCAATATTTTGTGCTAGAAATATGTTGCATTAATTCTAGTAAAGTGTAGGTACATATTTTGTGTAGGTATAAAGGGTAACTCTTGGCACAATAAACTTTAAGTAAACTTCTGAAAATCTACTTTGACTTAGACTCAGGTATCTGTCATCACACTGTTTCAGTGATAATACTCTTAGCAATATGGCAGCTGCCAGTATTGTTGCTTTATCTGATACTTTTAAGTAAGTACTGTGACCAGACCTAGGAGAGAACCAGAAATTGTTATGACCTGGTCTTGTACAATAATAGACACAATTTACTGTGTCTAAGACTGAGGACTTTTGTGTCTAGATTTATGGGAGATTTTGGTACGTAGCTATGTTTTGCTGTTGTACTATTCTTTGTGTGTCTTTAGAATCAGTGTGGTACTCACCTAACTGCTTCAAGTGCACAGTGTTCCTTTCTCCTTTTTCCTGCAAGAGACTGTGTAAAGTTGATGTCAATTGTTTAGATATTTGGTAGCGTTCTGTCATGGTTCTCAGCAAACATAAACTATGTTTAGACATAAGTTGTTTTTTTTTCTTAAATTCTTTTATTGGTACATTTTAGGTATACAATACATTTACATTTATCTTTGGGTGCTTGTACCTGTACATGGTGTATCTTGGTTCTTATTGTTTCCCCATTACCTGTGCGCCCTTCACCCCTAAACCCTTCCCTATTTACATACTTCATTTCCATTTTTTTTCTTTTCTCATAATTTTTCCTTTCCATTCTTTCCTTTCCCCTTCCCCTCCCACCATCCCTACCTCTTTAGACCTTTTCCTATTTAAAGTATCAATTATTAGTTATTGATCCTTTTTGTCCTTATTTACACCCTCAGTTTCTCACACTAGAGAAACTATTCAGTATTATGCTGATGAGAATATACCTTTAAAACACAATGCTAATTGATTTGCTTTCTAGTTCAAAATATATGATTTTCTTTTATTTTCTGAAATTAAGTGATGTGAGTGGTTTGGAGTATTAGAATCAGAAAATCATTTTTAAATCAATGAGCTGAACACAACTCTCAACACAAATGCATGCAGAATTGTCATTGGAGAAGCTGTCTCTGGTGAAGCTCACCTGGTTTCTACCACACTGGGGTGGCACAGATGTGTGAGGCTGATTTTAAGACACAAGCAATCTTATCTGCCCATCCCTGAATTGCTTTCTACATATCTCTTATTGCTTCATTTTTCTTTCCTGTCTTTTATGAAAATAGGTTGTAACTATTGCCTGGCAGCCTACGGGGCACTTTATAAAGTTACTGGGAGAAGTTTTTCTGCTATTAATATTTCACTTTAAGAGATTACATAGCTTCAATGTGCATCCACTTAGCTATAAATGTCTCTAATTTCTCATTTTATGGCTGAGTAGTACTCCATTTTATTTAAGAAATCACATTTTCTTTATCCAGTCTCCAGT